TATATAAAAAAGAAAACCCTAATAACTCCATCACTTCTAGGAACACAGAATTTTTTCTTCTATCTGAATAGAATTCAGGTACACATTTTAATCAAAAAGTGTATTTACATCAAATGTTTAAATAAATATTCCTTTTTAATAAAAATGGGCATATCATTACAGATGAGACTGCATACAAACTACGGAAAACGTATTTTATTATTGATGAAAGTACCACGTAATTCATATATGGTACAATACCCAGACTCACATACCCTAAATCATTTAAACATTGATATATCTTTTTCATTTTTATAATTATATAAGTAGTTATTGTTAATGTCCAGGTACGAATGTAAGCTCACAATGTCCACAATAAACATAACAATTAAATAAGGACAGACCTAGCAACCTCATAAATTAGACTGGGAAGATCAGATTAAATTAAGTGTTCCATGGATCCCAGTTAATCAGGATATGAAACAAGGTACCATACAAAAAAATAAAAAAACAAGACTTAATATCACAATAACAGAAGCAACAAAACAAACTTTCAAACATACGTGTACACGAAATACTTTCACAAAATTACACAGTAACATGTAAACTGAACATATTTTTATTCTGATCACCATCACAAATTCAAAAAAGGTGACAGTTTACTTCTGCTGGTATTAAGTATCATGTGCCAGCACTGTCGTTCACTTGTTTGAAAATGGTGACAGCACAGGAGGTGCATTGCACGGAGTGGTTTATTGAAGCAAAGTTAACAATGCAGATGCAATGAAACTTCAAGAGAGTGTATGGTAGACAAGATTTGCCTTCCTGACATGACACTTAACAGTGAAATGATCAGTTCACGGAAACAGAAGTGTAAATGTCACAACCAAAAAGACCAATCATACCCAAAGCCCGGCTTGAGGCAATAAGGGAAGCTTTCCAACTAATGCCTACAAAATCAACTCACCATGCATCATGGAAACTGCAGATACCATAAGCATTCACAAAGTGTTTCACAGGCATCTTAAACATACATGGTGCAAATTATGCAGGCAGTGACAAACCAAAAGGAAATCTTCATACTCACCGCTGTGAAAACCTCAAGTCTTACAAAAAGAACAGATTTTACTGTAGATATGTGAACAGAATAACCAAAGATAACACCCTTTTGCAGACTTCTGTTTTTGGAAGAAGTGACATTTCATGTATCAGGATATGTAAACCATCACAATGTTTGGGTACGGGGCTCTGCATCAGAATGAAAATGTTAATCAATTCACAAGTTACTATTGTTGAATTTTGTGAAAATATTTCATATGTACCCTGCATGTGTGGCAATGCAAGTCCAGTTAAAAAATTGGATGTACTTAATTTACACAAACATATTACAATTAGTTTTACATAAAATAGATTATTTGCAGAATCAAACTCTTTTCTGGGCATTATCGATCGCCCAAGATTAAATAAAATCAATAAAACCACGAAGCTTGGGAGATGGGAGTCTATCTCCATCTTCAGGCAAAACCTACTCTGTTGCGCCCAATCGGTAGAGCTAATCCCTATCTACAAACTATTGTCACAAACTTTCAGAAATGGGATTATTTGCAGTCATATCACAGAAGGTCTGAAATTCCGCATGTCACAGGAATCCACTATTTAGCCATAACACATTACATACCTGTGTGACCACAATAACATCTTATTTTGTCAAGCGAATATGACTTGCAGTGTTCTGCCATTCTCAGTACCTTGTTACATTTCATTTATGTACACTTGTATTTCCTTCCCTACCCCAATCATTCAATACAGTTCATATCTGGAAATTTAGTCCAATGGAAATCTGGAAGACTGCAGGTCACCTATTATGCAACTTTCTTGACTCAGCCATTCTTGTCTATACCACGAGTAAGCATGTGGTGATTTCAAAGTGGGTTACAGCTGAAGACGGCTGTCCTGTGTTGTTATGCCACATAGCTTGGTAGACATTTACTAACATTTTTGAGGTACTTGCTGATCATCACCTTGATGATGGAAGTAGCAAGTACCTCTGAAATGTCACAAAACTTGTACCAGACTACAAAGCACAATGAACCAAAAGGCAGATACCTTCATACTTGCTGCCATGAGAACCTGAAGTCTCACTGGGTTACACAACGAAGTTCGCCCACTGTAGGTCTTCACTCTCAAACATTTTGACGATTTCATCATGTATCATACTAGAATATATTATTAACTATCAAAATTTGCCACTTTGTACAGATTATTTAACCCACATCACCAATCAAGTGTTAAAGTAGGGTTTATAAAGTCATCAACACAATAAGAAATACTTTTATGTACAATACAATTCTCAACAGGTAAGCCTGTTCGCATCAGATAAATTACATGACATCGTCTTCAAAATATGGCAGTCTATATATCTATTCAAAACGGAAAATATTACAAACCTGGCATCTCTGTGTTGGTTGGCCGGCATCGCCATTGAATGCTGGTGATGCAACATTGCGTCTGGAATCAACTGCAATAGGTGATAACTGGAGAGAGAAAACACTTAAAATATATCATTATGACCGAGACAACTTTGGGCGGCACCAAACAGCGTATGCAAAACGATGAACCGGTTGTACTTCCAACAAGAAATATGAAATTATACCCAATTATACATACCTATTAACTATTCTGTTTCACTTCAACCTTCTTGATAATTTTACTTTCGTAGTTGAGATGAAAAAGACTGTTTCCTGGAGTACTTTTGAACCTTTCAAACCATTGGCAAACACTAAAGAAAATACAAGACTAACATGCGGCCATGTTGGTCTTCTCCCTGCGATGTGAAGTTTCAGAATATCTCACCAGAGGTCCGACATTGATATCGATCAATGTTGCCATAGAAACCTATATTGTAGCAAGAATGACAGTATGTCAAATTTCGCTAGCGTGTTTGCTAATTAGACAAGCAATGGCTGACGATTCTGCATCAATTTAATTCACTCTGTATAGAATCGTGAAGCCATCACCAATTGTACATCAATGAGTTCTCGTTTAAGAACTGAAGTTTGGAAGAATATGGCTTTATTTATTTTTAATGATTCTATCAATAGCCCAAGCTCTATGAGGTCGGTATCAAAAAATACAGACATAACTGTCTAGGGATTGTCTGTAACTGTAACATGCACAAATCCTGCAGCCGTAGGAGACATGCAGGCCAGTTACACCGCCGAACTGACGTCTTATTGGTACAGAAATCGCAAAAAACAACTCGGACTTTAAGTCCGTGTGCCCAATGCATAGAATTATTGTAGAGATTTGGGAAACTTCATCAATAATCGATTGCATGGTTAAAAAAGTTCCAAGACTCGATGACTTGAGATGAAACTTCAGTCTAATGAATATATGTACATTGGCCACCAAAACAGAATATTATCTTCTATGAGTTATGAATGAAAGGTGGGCAACTACAGTTACGACATTTCGAATAAGTTGCACATAATGTGTATGTTAAGAAGTAATTTGCATGTTGTACAGTCAGTGATTATGCCCTTTGCTTACAATTAATTATGTGGTACAGTATCTTTCACCAGGTAAGTTACAAAAGCAATATTCGTTTTGTATGTGAATGACCGTAGTGAGCCAATGACGTCTTTATTTGGTTTCCATTTAGCGTGGAGCTTTTCTCGAGGAGTTCTTTGTTCAAACTGGGGGAGAATTTGACGTAGACACAACACAAAGAAAAAAGGGCGATGAATGTGCCACTCGATTCGCACATTCATCACCCTGATGACGGAGGCATATGTCTTCTGAAACGTTAATAGAAATCTACCATACTACACGGCGCAAAAACCCAGAAGCAATCTTCAGACTCATTTCCCCTATTTATCCAATGTTCGCAAGTATCATCTGTCATCAAAAGGTGTAGAAGCACATAAAACACGAAAGCAGTTACCATCATCCTTATCATCGCATATGTATTAATCACAACTTTCAAACCTCACAATGTTCTCGGTATTTGTAAGCCAGCATGTATTAATTACGTTCTGTGGTGAAAGATCACGACAGCAAAAGGAAAAAACTAAGGGCCAGGATTTCCTCCCTACAAAAATAAAGCCACGACACACCGACTGAAATACAGCAGGTGGAATTTTAAACCGTTGATCAGCTGCTGCATTTAAATATGTTACATACTTTCCTTGGATAGAACTTTTGTAACTAAGGCCGTGGTATCCCAGAATTTCGGCATACTGCACTGATGTGGCACGTAAAAAGTCAGAGAATTTTCTTTGAAATACGTTATTATAATTAACTATTTCCTTGCACAAAGTTATGTCGGTTTACAAACCAGTAATCTTGATTACAGAAAGTCTTGGATTGACACTGGTATATACGTCACAGAAATAACTCGTCTCAAGCAAGCGCATCTCAACCAGTAAAAAGCTGCATGGGATTTAGAATCAGTTGGCTGATGTATCATGAGCAACTGTAAGAAAAATTTTCGACAGTACATTCATTTCAGATATTTCAGTATGTTGAAATGTCACCCCATCCTAATTTAACTTTATAATATATTAGGAAACTCCAAGAGGAAAAAGATTCATTTCTGGTCAACGGAGGATATCACTACAAAAAGAACGACTGTTCCATTTGTGTTAATATATTATGCAAATTTTCTAATAGAAGGCAGAAATGTGTTGATAAAGAAGTAACCGAACCGAAGAAGTAACACGTAAAGCTAATGCTTTGAAAAACGAACAATAAAAAACTCTGTCTCTTGGTCCAGTGACTCCATTCACCGGAACAAGGCAGAACAGATCAGATAAAAGAACTGTTAGCCAACTCCACCCAGCCATGCGTTGTTGGTCATGCTGTTGATGCTTACGCTCGCCGCGAGCTTAAACTGTACCACTTAAAATGCAGCCCAACAATCATCACGTACTACGGTACAAAAATATCAGAAGCAGGTTCACCCCGTGTAACAGATTCTCCCAAACTCCCCGTCACCCTCGAGTTGAGGTCACTCTTGTTGCTAGACCTTTGCTGTGGTGCTTAACATTTTTAACTGCGGCCAAAATTATGGTTTTGAAGACCCCAGCTTACTTTTATTTTAAAGGTCTTTAAATCGTAGTTTTGTCACATACGGACTGCATCCTCAGACAGGCGTATTTCGGCGCGATTAAAGTGCAGGAAATTCTGGCTCAATTACGTGTTTGGTTTTTATGTCATTTTAGTTATGCAGATGCAATTGTGAGATTACACTACTGAACAAGTTTGTGTAAATTTTTTTTAACGAAACTATTTCAAGCTTGCTGCAGAAATTCGTTGTCATTCTACTTCTGGATATGACAACAAATATGAATTTTAGGTCTATTACGGTCCTTCTCGAAGGTATCACCACCTTGTCGAAGGCAATCTGCCGGGTGAGGAGGCTTGCGTGCTCAAATGACCCTTAGGGCTATGCCGGCCTGAGCTTCGGCTCATGGTAGGGTCACCCAAGCCGGACAGGTCTAAGGAGATGCGCTAGACTAAGAGTGATACCCTGGTCCTCCAGGTTGGGGGTTGGGTGTAGGGCTAACAACCTTTCACCTTTAAAAAAAAAATAGGTGTTACGAAAAAATCAACCAAGCCTCGGATCAGGACGGACTCTTTGGCACGACCACAGCAATTGAAAAAGGACATGAGATTTGGTACCTGGAACATTAGGAGCCTCTATAGGGCTGGGGCACTGAAATCAGTGGGTAGGGAATTAGGGAATTATAAGTTAGACTTAGTGGCAGTGCAGGAAGTGCGATGGGAGGGGGAGGGCACGATCCCAGTGGACAATTTTACATTTTTCTATGGAAAGGGGAATGACAATCATCAGCTAGGGACGGGTTTTTTTGTTCATAGCAGAATTAGGGCAGCAGTTAAGAGAGTAGAATTTGTTAGTGACAGGTTGTCTTACGTAATTTTGGAAGGACGTTGGTGCGACATCATTGTCCTTAATGTTCATGCCCCAACTGAAGACAAAAGCGATGATATCAAGGATAGCTTTTATGAAGAATTGGAATCAGTATTTGATACATTTGGCAAGTATCACATGAAAATTCCGCTAGGAGATTTCAATGCAAAAATTGGGAGGGAGGATGTCTTCAAACCCACAATAGGCAGCGAGAGTCTCCATGCACTTAGTAATGATAATGGCGTCAGAGCAGTGACCTTCGCTACGTCAAAAGATTTAATTGTAAAAAGTACAAAATTTCCACACCGTGATGTTCATAAATACACTTGGACTTCCCCAGATGGCAGAACACACAATCAAATAGATCATGTTTTAGTAGATAAGAGAAGGCAGACAAATGTAATTGATGTGAGATCATTCAGAGGAGCAGATTGCGACACTGATCATTATCTGGTGGTAGCAAAAGTGAGGGAGCGGCTTTCAGTAAGTAGACGAACTAAACAAAATTTTGACACAGAAAGATTTGATTTGAAAAAATTAAGTGAGGGAGAGGCAAAGGAACAATATCAAGTTGAAATTTCGAATAGGTTTCAAATTTTAGAGACAAATGAGGATAATGAAAGTGTGGACATCAACAGGGAGTGGGAAAATGTCAGAAACTGCATCAAAATTTCAGCAAAAGAGAAACTAGGATACTACAGGAGAAAGCAAAATAAACCGTGGTTTGATGAAGAATGTTCAAAATTAATAGATCGAAGGAAGCAAACAAAATTTCAATGGTTGCAGAACCCAAACAAAACAAATGCGGATAATCTATGTAACGTGAGACGTGAGGCTAGTAGAACCTTTAGGACTAAGAAAAGGGAATACCTGAAGGGCAAAATTGCTGAACTTGAGACAAATAATAAGGAAAAAAACATCAGAGACCTGTACAGAGGCATTAATAACTTTAAGAAAGGATATCAACCCCAGACTAATTTGGTAAAGGATGATAGTGGCAATTTGCTTGCAGATCCAATAAAAATTGTGAATAGGTGGAAAAATTTCTTTAGCGAGCTCTTAAATGTTCATAATACTGGTGATATTAGACAGATTAAAATGCATACAGCTGAACTGTTGGTGCCAGAACCTAGCTTAGATGAAGTGGAACTAGCCATTGGGAAGTTGAAAAGTTATAAATCTCCAGGAATTGATCAGATTCCGGCCGAATTAATTAAAGCAGGTGGCAAAGGGTTGCATATGAGGATCCATAAGCTTATTCAGTTAATTTGGGATAAGGAAGAGATGCCACATCAATGGAAGGAATCCATAATTATTCCTATTTATAAGAAGGGGGACAAGACTGAGTGTGGTAATTACCGAGGAATATCGCTGCTATCAACCTCATACAAAATTCTATCCAACATTCTTTTGGCAAGATTAACCCCATATGCGAATGAAACTATTGGGGATCATCAGTGTGGGTTCAGACGAAACAGATCAACGATTGATCAGATCTTTTGCATTCGTCAGATACTAGAGAAAAAATGGGAGTTCGGTGGGACTGTACATCAGTTATTTATAGATTTCAAAAAAGCCTATGACTCTGTGAAGAGAGAAGTGCTATATAATATTCTTATTGAATTTGGTATACCAAAGAAGCTAGTGGGTCTAATAAAAATGTGCTTAAATGAAACCTGCAGCAAAATTCGAGTAGGTAAATATGTATCTGAGACATTCCTCATCAAGAACGGTCTAAAACAAGGAGATGCTTTGTCTCCCTTGCTCTTTAACTTTGCGCTAGAATACGCCATCAGGAAGGTCCAAGGTAGGCAGGAGGGTTTGCAATTGAACGGGACACATCAGCTATTGGCATATGCTGATGATGTTAATTTATTGGGGGACGATATAAATACAATAAAGAGGAACGCAGAAGTTTTACTAGAGGCTGGTAGACAAGTGGGGCTGGAAGTAAATTCAGAAAAAACTAAGTACATGTTAGTATCTCGTCATCAGAAGACAGGCGGGCAAAATTATCTTAGGGTAGCTAATAAATCCTTTGAAAGGGTTACAAAGTTCAAATATTTGGGAACAACAATAACAAATCAAAATGATACTTGTGAGGAAGTTAGGAGGAGACTAAATTCCGGAAATGCTTGCTACTTCTCAGTCCAAAATATTTTGTCTTCCCGTCTGATTTCTAAGAACCTGAAAATTAAAGTATACAAAACAATAATCTTGCCTGTTGTTTTGTATGGGTGCGAAACATGGTCTCTCACTCAGAGGGAGGAACACAGATTGCAGGTGTTTGAGAATCGGGTGTTGAGGAGGATATTTGGGCCCCAGTATTGTCAGGGTGATTAAGTCGAGAAGATTGAGATGGGCCGGGCATGTAGCGCGCATGGATGGGACAAGAGGTGTGCACCGGGTACTGGTTGGGGAACCTGAAGGGAAGAGACCGCTGGGGAGATCTAGACGTAGATGGGAGGATAATCTCAGGCGGGATCTATCGGAGTTAGGAGTTGAAGGAAACTGGATTTTGTTGGCCCAGGACAGGGTCCGGTGGAGGGCTTTGGTTAATTCGGTGATGAACCTTCGGGTTCGGTAAGCCATCTAGTTAGTTAGTTAGTTAGTTAGGTCTATTACGGTTGTGAATTACGATGTCGTGCTGTGTGCAATGGACCTACGGTAACCACCAGTCATCATCTGAATGTGCCTATCGCGCATGCGTCATTTCTTCAGTGCTACCTTCATTACCTCCTACTTCCGGTGTAAATCATTTATATTATTTGTGGTATGTTTAGTGTTTATATTGATTGAGGTGTTTACGATTTTAACTACATTCTGCGAACGAGACGGATTTGTCTTCTGTGTCTTATTGTAGAGGTTAATTTGACCGGATAGTACTATCTATGTATCTTTTCCGTGGTTACATTGTGATTGTACAGAATTAAGTCTACGAGGGCGTACGAATATGTGGAGACAGTTATTGAAGCCGGTGATACAGCTGAGGCATTCAGATAATCATCTGTTGTTCATTTCACACCAAAATGTATACCAGCAGTTCCGGACGACTTTCATTTTGAAGCGCAGGTGGCCACCTGGCTTGGTCAAGAAAGGCCGTGACCCTTCTACAAGGAAAATGCGAGCACGACATTTTATTTACGATCTTGTAGAAGATACAAATGTACGAAAAAAGAGACAGTTGGAGGTTATATTGACTGATTTCGTAGCAGGCCTTGGAAATCGTGGAGATCGTTTAATTATGAAGCAAAAAGCTGCATATCATCAACTGTTACTGCCTGGATTAGCTGTATATGCATCACCGGAAAACATAGAGAAATTTTCTCTTTCCAAAGATGATGTTGATTACAAACCTAAATATAGTTCACCATTTGTTTTGAAAACAATTAGCATTCTGCAATGTACGAATGTAATAGTATTAATGAACAAGGATGTTCCTTGGACAATTGAACCTTGGCATATAAGAATGTCATTTCGGAAAGCTGGAATTCATGTCCCAGATGATGCCATTTTGTTGCCAGAAAAACCAATTTGTGGTCCAAATATGGAGTTGGAAAATAAATTTTTTGAGGTTACAGTGACAATAAACAATACAGAAAAGGTTCCTGTAAAGTGTGTCATTCATCATTGGAGTACTTATGTCAGTGATAAGTTGACACCTGCAGAGGACTTCGCTAACCAACCACAAACTCCATTATTTCCTGTTACTGCATCAGAAATGGATTCTGATGCCAGTTCCAATTTGAGCACTGATACGCAGAATATGCAATAGTTTCAGAATATTTTCTTGTTTGCAAAATGCTGTAATCATTAATCAAGTAGAATCTTGATAAAGCTTGTCAGGTTGGGCATATTCTCTGTGCAAATATTCATCATTGTGGTAATTATTCGTGTTGTAGCATTTATAATTACTGAGAATGTACTGTGTACTATTGAGTATTAAGAAGCAGATTAATAATATATATTATTCTTGTGTGCCAACCACATTGCAAGCACTGGCTGATTCATTGTTGTCTCCTGAAAGTTTGGGCTTCCTTTTGATGTCATTATACCTTAATGTAATTTAGCTATGTTCCTAATTCTCTCTCCTTACCAAAAATTTAAGTACTGATTCCCACGTTCAACTGTCAGCTGCCAATGTCTTATTACTCTACTTTACAGAATGTAAAAGTGGCTAATTGAATATTGCTGTCTCTGTGTTGTAGCACCATGTAGTCTGATAAAAGTTTACAAATTTTTCAGATGTCCTTGCTACCTCCATCAAGGCCACTCATTCATTGTCCTAATGATGGAGGCAGCAAGGACCCCTGAAAGATTTGTAAATTTCTATCAGACTACATGGTGCTACAACCCAGAAGATAGTCATCTTCATACTTATTACTGTGAGAACTTCAAATCCTATGGGTTTTCAATCATTCATTTTGTGTTTGTTTCCCATCGATGGTGTCAGGAAGGCCTTAGGCAGGTGTGCAGATGGTGCCTGGTGGGTATTGACGATGAATTGAGATGACTTGGCAGTGACAAGCTTGGTGAAGCTACTGCCCCCTAAGTGGTATGCTTGCTTTATAGCATGTGACAGGATAGGCTTTCTTCCTGGCACTTTTTTTTAGTGTTTTAAATATTTAGACACTGATTTCAGCATATACCTTGATTTATTTATGGCACAGACAGAAAGGCAAATCCAAATGTTTTCAGTATTTGAGCTTTACGTAAACAGTATAACTGAAAATTGAGGGTCTATAAGTATATTCAGCCCTTCAGTAACAAGGAATTAATACCTGTAATTTCACACATTGAAATAAGTATGGCACATCTTTGCTATTTTCAGAGGTTACATTTTTGAAAACCCCTGCAAGCAATAACTTAGTTAAGAACATATGGGAAGAATAAGGTTAGGGGAACCAAAAACATTATATTTAATATGTATACTAAATGATAAATAAACAGAGTTACTTATTGGGATGACATTGTGTTACTGGCTGAAAGTTGTCAGAATGATCGCAGTTGAACATGTAGTGTAGCACAATATCTACATAGCTATAGAGACAGGTGGGCTGTTCTGTACTCAACAAAAAGCAAAAAAGCATTTTACATTCAAAATAAAATCATTACAATAATGGAAGCCACTAAAAGGATAACCTTATGTAGGGAATTGTTTAAGAAATTTAATATTTGTCCAACTAGCCAGCAAATTCTTGCTCTCATTATAATTTATGGTGGACAACATGGAAGAATTTCAAACAAACTCAGATATTCACAGTATAAGTACAAGATACAGATATAACCTTCATGTGCCAAACACTTAACTGAGTAAACATCAAAAAGAAGTGTACTATACTGGAATTAAGCTATTCAATAATCTTCTCCCCCCAACCCCCCAGTAAGAAGTATGAATCATGATACAAAGAAGTTAAGCCAGCACAAAGGAGTATTGCCTGTCTCATTCCTATTCCATAGAAGAATTTACCCCAACCAAAAATTCCCAGCTATTATAAATACATGTAAACAATAGTGGTTGTGCTTTCTTGTTCAATTATTTTTGTGGTAACTAGAGCATAGCGCTCCTTTCAGAGCTCCTTGGGGGTTGGTCAAGTTTTTAAAATGCAACCCCCCCCCCTCGAATGGGGGGTTAAAACACTTGACCAACCTTAAAATCTTGAGTAAGACACTAAACTAACCCTCCCTTCGGCATTGTTGTGTTGGTATACGCAACAATGCTGAGTAAACAAACGTTTGTTTGATGACGTGTGTTGTATTATAACCAACCAATTGGATTGTTGTGTTCTATTATAACCAACCAATTTGTAGCCATTTGTTTACTCGCCATTGTTGTTCTATTATAACCAACCAATTTGTTTACTCACCATTGTTGTGTTCCATTATAACCAACCAATTTGATTGTTGTTCTATTATAACCAATTTGTAGCCATTTGTTTACTCACCATTGTTCTATTATAACAACCGATTTGATTGTTGTGTTGTATTATAATATATAACATTGTTGGTACAACAATGCCGAGTAAACAAATGTAACGTAACATTGATGACGTCATTTCTTGAAGACAAATTGGTTGGCTACAAGTAGGTTGACGACAACAAATCACGAATTTTTATAATATATAGAGATACTGTGGTTGACTGTCATAACTACATCATTTACTTGTATTACAAACAAGTATTGCACAAATATTACCACTATTTTCCATGAATGAGTTGGGTCTGCTATATTCAAATGTCATTCAGCCCATGAAATGTGTATTACTTCTCTTTGCAGAAGTTGGTTAGTGATTTGCTGTGCTTGCTTCATGTCATATAACACTCACTTCTGTATAGGATGCATATATTTTTCATTTGATATACGAGGGTCGCTCATTAAGTAATGCCCCACATTTTTTTTCTCAGCCAATAATGAAGATAGAAAAGTGTACTTTTTACATGCTTGAGATTTGATGTTTCCCGCGTTCGTGTACGGAGTTTCAAATGATTCCAACCGATAGCGGAGCTGTAGTGAACTGTTAAAATGGCGTCTGTGAACGACTCTCGTTACAAGCAACGAGCTGTAATTGAATTCCTTGTTGCTGAAAAAGAAACGGTGGTGAACATTCATAAACGTTTGTGTGCTGTGTATGGAAGCTGTGCAGTCGATAGGAGCACCGTTGGTCGCTGGGCTAAGAGAGTTAAAGCTTCAGGAAGTGAAGAAACCGAGCTCCGTGATCTGCCGCGCTCTGGGCGTCCTGCCACAGCCACCACTCCAGACATGTTGAACCGCGCGGATGCCATTATTCGTGAGGATCGGCGCATCACAACTCGACAATTGGCCCAACAGCTTTCAGTCAGCAATGGAAGTGTGATTGCAATTATCCAGGCTCTCGCATATTCGAAGGTGTGCGCAAGATGGGTTCCACGAAGTCTCACAGCAGACCACAGGATTCAAAGGAAAACGATTTCTTCTGAATTGTTGGAGCGTTTTGATGCTGAGGGAGAGGTCTTTCTGTCCCGGATCATTACAGGTGACGAAACCTGGATACACCACTTTGAGCCAGAGACAAAAAGGCAGTCAATGGAGTGGCATCATCCTCAATCACCGAGAAAGAAGAAATTCAAGACAACTCCCTCCGCCGGAAAAGTCATGATGACTGTCTTTTGGGACAGTGATGGGGTCATTCTTGTGGATGTGATGCCAAGAGGTGCGACCATCAATTCAGACGCGTACATCAGGACCCTGAAAACCCTCAAGAAGCGTTTTCGACGAGTTCGGCCTCACAAGCATCCAGCAGAAATTTTGCTCCTGCACGACAATGCACGCCCTCACACAAGTCTGAGAACCCGGGAAGAAATCACCAAATTGGGTTGGACGGTGCTACCCCATCCACCCTACAGTCCAGATCTGGCACCCTCCGACTTCCATCTCTTTGGGCCCCTTAAAGATGCTATCCGCGGAACAAGATTTGAAGATGACGAGAGCGTGATTCAAGCAGTGAGGACATGGCTACGGGGACAGGACAAGAGCTGGTACCGGCAAGGCATGCATGCACTTGTTCCACGCTGGCGTAAAACCGTACAAGTTGATGGGGACTATGTGGAAAAATAGTATGTGTAAAGGAAACATTGATTTATATTGTCACTAAATTTGAGCCATCTTGAATAAATATGTTCTGAGGAAAAAAATGTGGGGCATTACTTAATGAGCGACCCTCGTACAAAAAGCTTTCCTTTGCACATTTTATTTATGTACATTTGCTGTTAACTCAAAGAGTTTAAGCAAGGCTATATGGTGCCAAAACACAACTGGTAGTTCTTGAGGTGATATTCTCAGGCTGTTGTATTACCAATATAAATTCCATTGTTGTACATTATTGTTAATGTCCGTTTTCAAAGTCTGCAGAGGGTGGGACAGAAGACTGTAGGGTAGAAACATTGTAGGGAGAAAGTGTGTTGTGTTCATATGTGGCAAAGTAGTTATGACCAAACAGATAAATTATAACGTAATTAGTAAGAATGCAGAATAATTCAGATGCCCTGACAATCAACAAATAAGCATTGGCTTTAAGTGTACTGTCTATTTACTATAAGACAACTCCCGGGCATGATGTTAAACTGAGTCCACAGACCGAGTGAACACCGGTGTAAGTGGTCCCCCTCTACAAAGTGCCAACAGCCTCTTTAGTGGGTGGAGGGTCATGGCACCCTCATGCCCTTGGGGTGAGAAATCACCCCTAAAGGCAGATGGGTTAACGGCATAGGACGCGGATGGCAAGGGGAATCCACCACATTAAAGATCCTCAGGATTTCCCTAGTATCAGCAGCTAAAAAAAAAGCTGCTGCCAACCAATCCTAGGATTTATTACAAAACAACTCCAAAAATAGCTAAATAAATAAACCTAGTGGCATCCAAGAACTCCACTTTAGTGTCCAAAAAAGTGTTTTTTAAGTTTCTAATATAGGTGCCACCTGCAGTCATTGCCACATGGCTGTGCAGTTCAAATGGTGGTGGTGGTAGTAGTGTATTCAGTGCAGTGGGGAGACTGCTGCCGAGAAACTGTGTGCTTGTTAACGCACTATTTTCTGAAGTTTCATTACACTGATCTAATTTTTCTTTCAATAATTTATACATCACTTAAATTAATATTGTCTTTTACACATCACTGAAAATCATAATTTCTACTCTTTATCAAGCACCAATTAATTTTATATAACTAATGCTGGAGTTTTGCTTCTTTATTAAGGGCATGCAGTGTCACCACCAAACTTCTACGAGACTATACAGCGCAACACCCAGACGACAGCCATCTTCAACTACCTTCCAATTTCTAAGAATCTACCATGTAACTTGATTAATTAAAATACTTAAATATTTCTCAGGGATATGCTGATATGTTAAACATAATAAACACTTGTTATTGAACATGACTCCTGCTTCAGAATTTTCATGATAAATGAAGTAATGTAACAAACATGTGTTCATAGGCAGTATGTTAAGATATTCCCCTCT